CCCCTGGAGGAGAACCCTGCCACCCCAGCTGGGGATCCCCCCCAAAAAAGACTCCTTCCCCCCCAGCCACCCAACCCAGCACCAGCCCCTTTGGGGAAGAAAACCCCCTTGGCCCCATTCCCACCCCCCAGGACCAGGCCTGGATCAGGACCCCCACCCCCCAGTTCTTACTCATCAAACTCTTCCTCAGAAAATGGCATGTCCTCGATGAGCACGCTGAAGAAGAATCTCAGCAGGATCTGTGGGGTGGGGGAAGATTTTTTCTTAATTAATCAGCATAGTAAATATTTCCTTGCAATTCATAGAATCCTAGACAATGAGGGTTGGAACGACCTCAGCGGGTCACATCTAGTCCAACCCCCTACTCAAAGTAGGACCAGCCCCAACTACTCCATCCCAGCCAAGGCTTTGTCTACCTGGGTCTTCAACTTCTCCAAGGATGGAGACTCCACCACCTCTCTGGATAACCTGTTCCCGTGCTTTACCACCCTTCTGAAAAGAAAGTTCTTCCTCATATCCAACTCCAACTTCCCTTGCTGCTGCAGCCTGAGCCCATTGCTCCTTCTTCTGTCATCTGCCACCACTGAGAACAGGCCAGATCCTTCCTCTTTGCAACCCCCCTGCAGGGAGTTGAAGGCAGCTATCAAATCTCAGCCTCAGTCGTCCCTTCTGCAGACTGAATCAGCCCAGTTCCCTCAGTCTTTCTTCACAAGCCATGTCCCCCAGCCCCTCAACCATTTTCATTGCCTTTCCAATGTGTCCACATCCTTTCTGTAGTGGGGGGCCCAAAATGACTCCAGATGTGGCCTCCCCAGTGCTGAATAGAGGAAAAGAATCACTGCACGCTGCCCTCCATCTGCTGGCAATGCTCCTACCAATGTAGCCCAAGATGCTGTTAGCCTTCTTGGCAACAAGGGCACACTGCTGGCCATACTCAGCTTCTTGTGCCCTGTCACCCCCCTAGATCCTTTTCTGCAGAGCTACTGCCCAGCAGTCAGCCACCAGCCTGTGCTGGTGCATTGGACTGCTCCATCCCAAGTGCAGGACTTTGCATTTGTCCTTTTTGAACTTCATGAGATTTATTTTGGCCCCATCTTCCAATGTGTCACGGTCTCTCTGAATCCCAGCCCTACCTTCCAACACATCTACTACTCCTCCCAGCTTGGTGTCATCCACAAACTTGCAGAGGGTGTACTCTATGCCATCTTCCAGGTCGTTGATGAAGATATTGAACAAAACCATCTCCAAGACCGACCCCTAAAGCACTCCACTTGATACCGGCTGTCAACTAGACATCAAGCTATTGATTACTACCCTCTGAGCCCAATGCTCCAGCCAGTTTTTTATCCACCTTACAATCCATTCATCCAGCTGGGACTTTCTTAGCTTGCTTGCATGAATGTTGTGGGAGAACATATCAAAAGTCTTGCTAGAATCTCACACCTATCATCTCCCATAGCCTTTGATTCTCACTGCCACACATTTGGATTTTCACAGACCTGTATTTTGCATGTTGGCTTCTCTTCCACCATGGAGAACACAATAACACCAGCAGACTCTTCCTCTGCCTGAAGGAGGGTGTTTGTACCCAAAAGCTTGCAAAGAACAATTTTTCCAACTATTCAGTTGGTCTAATAAAAGATATCACATTTATGCAAAGAGCCTTCTCTGCCTGTGTCCTTAGACCAACACCCCTGAAACATAGAAGATATTGAATTTTGCCATTTGAAATAGAAACTTCACAACATGAAGAAGAAAGAAGCCAAACATTTTCTAAGGCTATGCAAGAAACACAACATCATTCCCAGAGGACTGAATATCTACAATCCTCTGACTACTACACACAACCCCAAATACACTTCATTGCTACGCAGGAGAACTTCAGAAAAACATAGAAATCATCTCCTTCACTTCACCTACTCCAAAAGAGATCAACTTAAGGAGGAAACCAACACAGGCTGTAACAAGTTAAAAGAGATCAATCCGGATATCTTCCCAGACATCATACAACATTTACAAAGAGACTTCCAAAGACTTTTTACAACATCCATCCAATGTAAAAAGAAGAAATTGAAGCAATTACTCCAGGAACAACTTTCCCAGCCACTAAACAACCCTCAGAGAAACGCCACCAACAACGTGTGACACTCCAACCTCAGAGCTGATGGAACTGAAGGAACCAGTCAAGCCTCAAATATTATCCATCTCTGCATGCACGCACTTAGCAAAGCTGATAAATCTGTCCTCTCCTACAGGCCTTCATTTCTGCCCAGATAAACACCTTCATGAGATACTACAATGTGGAGAACTAGAAGAATTTTTCCAATGCCTCCAACTCAAGGAATATTTCCACAACCAAAGTGAATCCACTTTCAACAACACTTCATCCTGTCACAACATCAAGGAAAAGGTTAACACCAAAAACTCCAAAAAACACATCAGAGTGGACACTTCACAGTAGACAAAAACCAAACCCCAATGGCTACATTGACGGCTTCAGAGACAGAACAAACAATGAAATAACCAGCACACGGCACCACAGCAACCGCTCCCTCTCGGAGAGAGGGGCCGTAGAAGCTCTAAGATCCGACCACCGAATAGTCATAAAACCAGCAGATAAAGGAGGAGCGATAGTTACTGTTAACCACAAAGACTACATCAAAGAAACCAACACACAACTCTCTGCCACCATGTAGGATGAAGAGCTAGAGCAGTGATCACCAACCAGTGGATCTCGATCCACTGGTAGATCTCGGAGCCTCTTGTGGAGTTGATCCGAGGCTGGGGTGCAGGGCTGAGTGCCCGGGTGCATGCACGTACGTGCCCCACCCCCAGCCCAGCAGGTCAGTCCATGGGGGAGGGAAGGGGGCAGGGGCCAGATCGAGGTCCCCAGGGTGAGGGCAGAAGTGGGGCTGGAGCTGGGACCTTGATCTACCCCACTCCCCCCTCCCCCACAGACTTACGTGCTGGGGAGGCGGCCCCCAAATAATTTTTTCTCCCTCTGCTTTGATCTGCCCCCCCTTCCCCGCCCCACAGACTTACCTGCTGGGTGTGGGGGGTGGGGGCAGGTCGGGAACGTTGTGTGGTAGATCTTGGGTTGCTTTTAAATGCCAAAGGTGATCTCCTACTTTAAAAGGTTGGAGACCACTGAACTAAACAAAAATCCCACTTCCCTTTTCACCTTAAAACTCAAAACCACCATCACATCATTTCTATCTGAACTACAAGAGAAACTACAGAACTCGATCCCCCACGACCCAACCCAGGGACTCTACACTTCCCTAAAACCCACACACAAGGGAACGCCAGCAGACCTCTCGTATCCAACCATGGAACCCGAACAGAGGAAACCTCAGGATTCATCGAATCCATCCTAAAACCTGAGACCGAGTTTTTTCCAAGACACAACAAACTTTCTACAAAAACTTTAACACACACACCACCCTCCTAGCCACCATGGACGTTACTAGCTTATATACCAGCATCCCACACTGGATGGCACCCAAGCCTGCCTCACATATCTACGAGAGGAATATTACAGCTCCAAGTATAGCCCTCAGGATATTACTGGACTTCCACACTTCATCCTCACACACAACTTCACTTTCAACAACCAACACTTCCTTCAGACCATGGGCACAGCTACAGGCACCAAAAGGGCCCCACAAGATGCTAGCCTTTTTATGGCCCATCTGGAAGAAAAATTCCTCAAGAACTGCCCCATGAAACCCATGCTATACCTGAAATATCTAGATGACATCATCATCATTTGGACCAAAACCCTGGAACTCTGATTGATTCCCATCAGATATTCAACAATCATCACCCCTCCATCAGATTCTCTCTTCAATACTCCAGCACAAACATTTCCTTTTTAGATACAATGATTTTTATCCAGAATGGTGAAATACAAACGATGGTATACAAGAAACCCACAGACCAACATACATATCTGCACAGAACCAGCAATCACCCGAAACACACCAAGAAAGCTGATATCACAGCCAAGCCCTCTGATATCACCAAACTTGCACCAAGGAGAACACCCGTGATTGTCACCTCACAGATCGCAACAAGGACACCCCTCCAGAAAGATAGATCACACTTTTGAAAGAGCCATCCGGATACCACGTGAAGAATGACTGCAGTACAAAAAGAAACCCCCCGACGAATCGTACACAGTTAGCTATGACGTAGCATCCTTCCCTGGAACCAATCTGGAAAATCCTCAAACAGCTGCAACCCAGACTAGAAGACGACCCAACTCTTAAAGAGATCTTCCCAGAGCCACCCATCCTAGCCTTTAAACAAGCACTGAATCTCGCCAACCTCCTCACCAGAACCAAACTTTCTATGGCCCAAAGCACACTGAATGGATTCAGACCACCACAAGAGATGTAAAACCTGCCAACGCATCTCCACCAGTCCCAAACGGATGGTGACAGCCTTCTTGCGACCCGCCCTCTTAAGCGGTCTGCTTACTTTTTGAACTCCTGAGTCTGCAACTAATGTCACCAAAATAGCGACCAAGTGCCTTTAATTGGCCTCCCAGTCAATGGAGCATAACTCAATATCGAAGTGATTACAACAATCCCTTTCAAGACCAAGCACCACGATTAGTCCCTGGAACACGGATTTATCAATTGAATGTTAAAGGTCTGTCACAGGCTAAGTGTGACTACTTAGGAAAGATGCTGAGAACCAATGACGCTGATGGTCTCACACAACAGGAAATGCAGGTTGTAACAACAAGCAAGCATGCCGCTATAAGAGCTATGGCTCTAAGCCTGCCACACCCTACACCATGTAAAATATGGCCTGGAGCGCTGCATGAAAGATGACGTTACCAGCTGTATCACAGAGGCACCGCTACAGCAGCTGTCAAGATTGGTAAGCTGACCGTTAGCAATATCTACAAACCCCCACAATGCAGAATGGCCTAATCTAGCTCTGCCCCCAACATCCAACTATATATAAGGGAGACTTTAACAGTCACCATACTGAATGGGGCTAAAATGGAAATGACACCAGTGGGGAAGCCCTGAAAGATTGGATGTCAGCCTGGGATGTTCACCTTGTGTATGAGGCCAAACACTGTGCAACTTTTCAATCAGCAAGATGGGGGAGGGAATACAATCCTGACCTCACCCTTGTCTTGTCAGGTAGCAAAGGTGTCTCTATACTCCTGTCCCAAACTGTCCTATCAGACTTCCCACAGCCAACATAGGCTGGTTACCAG